ATGGAAATCCTACTTCATACAATCCGCTATGTCCGTGCGTGTGTGTGTTTGTCTGTGTGTCACGAAATTCATAGCGCCGGTCCCAGTAGCAGTGAGACATTGTTCCAAGAAGTGATGTAGGGGGTGTGACGGGAACACTATTGGTGGGTGACAGGAAGTGATATCAGTTGATAAGAGGCGTTAGAAGGGGAGGTCACCATATTCATAACGCGGGTGACAGCATCAGCTAGCTCTTGATTCCAAGATATGATATAGGGTATGGGCCAAGAACATTATTGGTGGGTGACAAGAACTGTAAGCTGCTGATAAGATTCGATAAGGGGCGTTAGAATGGTGAGGTCATCGTATTCACAGCGCAGGTCACAGCATCAGCGAGGCGTACGTCTCAGCAAGTGATATAGAGGGTGACATGAGGACATGAATCTGGGTGACTGGAAGCGATAACTACTGATAGAGACTGATAAGTGAAGTTGCAGTCGTCGTCGCTGTTCAAGGTGGTTCACGCTACCAAATCATAGAGATTTGGTGATGAGGACATTGATGACGGGTGACAGGTAATCTTATCAATCGATATAAACAGATAAGATAAGTGAAGTGTTCGCTTTCAGATGCATGCAATGGTGACGAACGGGCGGGGGGGGGGGACCCAACAATTGGGAGTGGGAGCGTCCTGTCGGTGGTCATTCGAGCTCTCCGTGTCCGCGCGACACAAACTTTCATATGTACAGTCCTCATCATTGCAGACCGGTGGGGCGGGTGAGCCGCGCTGCGTGTGACTCGGCTGTGACGCGGCAGCGATGACAGTCGCGTCACAGCCGAGTCACACGCCGCGGCTCACCCGCCCCACCGGTCTGCAATGATGAGCACCATACAAGCAATGTGGAGTTCAGTGCCACCCATTACTCTGCAGTTATGCCTCTTCCGGTTGTTAAGGACTCATCCGGACTAATTCAACTTTACCCATTCTGTTGTCGCAACTGCGGTCCTTAATGATATGGTGCAGCCTTCTCACGGTTGAAAGTCTGTAGTAAGCAAGGGGGACCAGATGTTGGTAGATAATGACTGATGTTGAGCTATTTTCAACTCATTTTCCTGCATTTCAAAAAAAATTGCTGTCATCATTTTGCACATTTAGCGCATTCTACCTCGCCCAAGGGAAGAGTGCCTGGCGAAGCCAGGTCGGCCCGGCGAAGCCGGGCCGTGAAACAGAAGGAGGAGCACCCGGCAGCCGGGTGATCCGACTGGCTGTTCATAACGGAACAATAGCTCCACCACGGAAACCCTAGAAACGGACGTTAGTCGTAGTATATAATGGTGAGAGGGGTGTTGCCACCATCTTGCATAGGCAGCATTTTATCTTGTATTCTTGAGCATCAAAAGTATTAGCACTTCTCGCGGACCGAACTATCCGTCCAAAGGCGTCGTCTGCATATCGAGCAGACACGGGGAGTGCTTTCAAGATGGATGGAAACTTTAATTTCTTGCTGACTGGTATACTCAACATTTCACGCGATCAGACTCGGAAACCAGGAGTGCCGCGGCATATTACTTCTTTCAGATCATTTTGATACACTCAATTGTTGGATACACTCGCGATGCGTGGCGGTGTGGTTTGCGTCTAACCGCTATGATGCAAAGATTCCGTCTAGTAATGCAGAAATGTAGTATACTGTGAAAGAGTGACTCATCTACAGTGTTTAGTTAACAATCTATTGTCGGATCAAGGAATGGTAGAAGTTAAATTGATCCTGATAGTAAAGTACCTCTTGTTCTGAACTACAGACTAATCGCCCAGACTCTCCGAAATCAGCGTGATGCTCATTGTCCGCTCTGACCAGATTCAGATGAAGGGAGTATCACAAAGAAGGCACCGCTCTGCTCGCGAGAAAAATTTTCAGGATTCCCTATCTGAACGAGGCAATCGTGCTGTAAACAGATCTTTCCTTGAAACTTTCCTTCACCCTACAAGTTGTGCAAACTGCATGAGGAAATCAAATTTGTTGGTGAAATTTACTTGATATTACACATTTTCGTAGTGCCACCTTCATAATGTTCCCCTTTTGTAGAGGGCTACTCCGCGTGGAGGGAACAGAGACTTTTGAAAGCCAAGTTGTCAAGTAGCAGTGGCGAACAGGAAAAATGAAGGCCAGAGTAGAGTCAGGAAATCTATGAAATGTACTGATTATATCCGCCCTACTGAAGAATTGGAGATTAGGAGAAACTGACCATGAGAATGGACAAATTGTAGAGTATAAGACCGATGATCATGTATCTAATCTTTCTCGCTGCCTAACCAGTGACAATTTTGTTCATATCTTGCGTATCATTATCGTAATTTGAGATACTGTGAGGCTGCGTTCATACTTTGCCGGCACGTCTACCCAGGCGACCCTCCGTGCAGTGCAGCAAATCACTGGCGACCATCAACATTCTCCAAGGCCGGCGCAGTGTCAGGGACTCGGAAACCTATAGATATCGATGAGTCGAACGATAAGCTCGATAACGTCCAATCAGCGTCCCATAGCCGTTTTTCCAGCGATCTCGATAGAACCAAGCAAGGTAATTTATATCGTCTATACCACTTTCGCAGGACTAGGAAAAGCATGGGCTTATCGATCTAGTAATCTACAGCTTCTGCCAGCGAACAGGGTACTCGGTACTGAGTGTAAGCCGAGTATTAGTGTAGCTTGCACACTAGCGCAATTCACGGCGCGTAGATCCCGGTGTTGCCTGCTCCTGCCCACTCTCCCATATTCTTTACTCCTTGTCTGCTGGAGGCGCTGTTTCGCTTCTGGTGACGCTGCTGCAAAGTGAGTCTGGGAATCCTGAAAGAGTCAATGGAAGCTGAAAAGACGGGCAGACTTCCCTTCCATGTACCCATCCGCTTCCGGTTCCGAACTGATCTCTCGGTTAGCTTCCACGTCGCCTCAGCGCGACTCAAAGTCCATGCGCACGCAAGTTGTAGGAATCAGAAGCCAGTATCCACGAGCAAGTAATTAAGCTTGTCAATGTGAAACACTCCTGATACATGTATTCGCATTATCAATGCACGTGCGGCCCACATTTCGTGTGGTCATTCTCAAGAGAAACAAAAATAGTTTTATGGTTTTGTAGGCAACTCCTTCTGTTATCACTGATTGTTGCAACATGCACAGTCGCCGTCTCGATCTATTTGAATTCCAAGAAGAGAAAGAAGAAACCTGCAATCACTGGTAACTCTATGAGAGTACATGTACCGCCTTATATACAGTCAAATAATAATAATTGATGGCTGGTGACCGTATGTACTGCATCAGAAAGCTAAAATCCGATATGCTGGAACTGCAGCATCAGCCTTACTGTCTTCTTCGCTAGAGATGCAGACTGTTCAGCGACGCGGAGTTCGCGTGACGCCAGTCCAATTTTCCCCTCAAATTGTTATTGGCCCCAGTTTTCTTCAACAATTCGTGGAGAACCGGCTGGCACCGCGGCAGCCTCTCTATCTCTAGCCTCAATAAAGGCTGGCTATCATCGCTAAACAATTTTCTTGCTTCTGCAAACCACCTGTATGTTGGTAGCAGTGGCGAAATTGCTAAGTACCCTTCCCCCTCCAACAGAACTGCGTCAAGTTCTCACTTTGGATGGCTACTCCGGATTTCAGCATTTCAAGAATCTACGTTTCAGAATATGCCATTAGCAGATGTCTCTAGGATGGCAGCGGTGCCTCCAATGCCCCCTCTTCGTGCTTTCTTGTGCCTGTTCATCTGGCCTGTCGCCTGCACTCTTGTCAGTCCTATTCCGCTATACGTTGATCAGTATCGCTTACTGTGATCAATATCGGTTACCAAAAGGACAGCTCTAGGAAAATTTCAACGGTGCCTTCAGCTATCACAAGATGATGAGTGTGTGAACGTTGATTTGTGGGGTTTGCCTCCCATCTTAGAGTCCGAACGTCCGAATCTAAATGGGACGCCAAACCCCAAGTTCACGTTTCAACACGCTGCTGGTCGTGCGCACTATCGTCTGTGCGCACAGTGTGTCGCTTGGAGGGTCCCCCTTTAGAGTCAACGCGATTTTCCCATACACTCGGGATGTATTGTGAGAATATTCGGAGCGCGAACTGCGACGTTAAACAGTACTAGTTGTTATATGACAAAAATCTTCTGCTTTTACTTTACCGACAAGGGCCGACAACCATGACCCCCATGTATGGTTCCGCTGCACCCATCGTGCTGTCCTTCTGCACTTACCTCCGTCGTTTTAGAACCATTTGCATCATTCGCGCATTATCAGAAAAGTCTGGCATGATCATACGCAATGCGAATTATGTGTGTCGATGTCACGAAATGAAACCTTACGACATTTGCAGTCTTACCACCACGTTGGAGTCGGAGGATGTGGTGAGTTGCGTTCAACATATTTGCACTGAAGGGTATGTTGCAGCTGAGTTAGATGCTATAAGTGCACCTCGTTGGAAGGTGCCGACGCTGCGTTTGCACTTGGGTGCCTGACTTCAGCTGTCTGACCTACCTACGCTGTCTCGGAGCAATACATCGTGCCAATTGTCTTTGAAGATACAAAGGCACGCCCAGCACAGGCATATCCTACGGCATCTGCAGCGCGCTAAAAAGCGCCCCGCTGTCGAAACGTAGGGCGGTTTCCTCGTCCTACATGCACATGGATGGATCCAGGACCGTAGGATAGGCGAATTCTTCCATAACTGCCGCCTGAAAATGCAACTTGCAAGCGCTGGGACGTCCGCAGCGGGTCAGTTCATGTCATTTTCTGTTTTCTTTCTCCATCGTTGGCTTTTCTTTACACTTGACATTGCGTGTTAAAAACAGTTAATACGTGTCATGGATTATTTGCTGCTTCAGTTATTGAATCTAGTAAGCTTTTAAGGTAATTACCCAAAGATGAAAAAAAGCAAGAAGAACTTCAGAACACCTGAAAAAATCTTCTTTAATGTCTATGCAACCTGCGCTCTTCGTGCAACCCTTGACTCACAAATCGCTTTTCGCATAAAGAATACGAAAAACAACAAAAGCACCGATGGAAATCTCATAAGAAAAAGAAACTTCCAGAAACTCTGCCTACGAATTTTGAGAGAGGGCACTTTAATTCATTCCAATTTAATGCCGCGCTCGCCCCAACAAAGAACAACTGAGCGGTCCTGCGTCAGATGCGGAGAGGTCATATAGCAAGTGGGCGGTCAAACTGAGCGGGTGTTAGAACCAGAACAGCGGTTGTAGGCGCCCTCTCGTGTCGCGTGTTGAGTCGGAGAAGTGGACAGTGTCTCTTAGCTGGAAGCGGGACTACTTCGTAGCAAGCAAGCGCGAACCACAAATTACTCGAGCGCAGGGCCGTGTCTTTGGGACCCCTCCTCCCACAAATGACAGTTGCTGGTCCTGCAAGTCGTGCGATGTAAGGTCAGCTATTAGAGGAGGCCGTGCATGATATTTCTTCATTTTTCTAAAATTTTCTTCACTCTTATATAGAAAACTTGCTGATTCCAGCCATCAGTAAGATCTTCTGAATCTGGTCTTACATCAGATGATGACAATGCCACTGAGGTACAGTGCCCCTCGGTCTATGCTTGATAACAAAAATAAAGAATCTAACAGGCATTTTACAGGAAATTATGCTTAATATAAACAATATCACTTCAACAAGGGAAGATACAGATAAAGAATTTCGGGCTGTCAAGAAATAGTTGCTGTCAAGAAATAGTTATCTTCTTGTTCTCCTCACTCGACTGCAGCTACGTTTTTTATTACTCCTCAACATACAATGTTACGAAAATAAAAGTTTTCACTTGAAAATTTCGAAATTGCGCTTCAAAAGCAAGAACGCAAGGGCTGGCTGAGACTATCTGAATAAGGGCCGATTTTCGTGCTCAAGTTTGAGCACTGGAAAAGTACACGAAGAAGCGGGGATAAAGGGACACTTAGCCGCTACACAAGCAAGCAGTTGCAGGCCATGCCGCGACTGCACTTCTTTGGTGACGGGTTCGAAAACGATAATCTTATCGCTCAAAGAGCTGATCAGTGTGAAGCTTCCCAGTCGCGTCGCGTCGTCCCCGAATGTGCGGCCGCAGAAGTAGAACAGGTCCCGAGATTGCATACTGAGCTACTTGAACAAGGAAGGAAGTCTCCAAAGTAGTCGAGCGCGTGGGTCTGTTTTTGAAGACAATTCCCGCGACCAGGTGTTACGGGTAATGGGTGCTCAGTTGTGACCTGTAACCGATAAGTGATTTCCTGAATTAAGAGAAAAACAAAGAAAAACCCTTAAGAGACGCGTCTTACCATGTGGGTGGATGCTTCTGACAGTTGTGCTCCTTACGCGACCCTTTTGTGAGCTCACGAGTTGTTCTGCTCTCGATGGATACCTTTTTTGTAAAAGGAAAACAAACAAGTAACAGCAGCCCAGTTTTAAAGCAACATACGGTCGTGCGCTGCCTGAGTTTACCGCAACTTCGTTGGTGCAGAACCTCATCGTGCATTGCTTACCAATAATCCTAATATCGTACTGAGGGTTTTCGAGTGGTATTTTCTGTGACGAACTTTCTCCAGTCTCCTTTTCTGTCTTTTTTCCAGCATTAACGGGTTTTAGTGCTGGTGCGAAGAACCGACCGTGAACCACGGGTTTCAATGTGGCCGCAGGAAGTCAATTTGATAGCAAGTCCGGGGAATGAGGACAATGACGCTGTGTGAAGGCCATGGAAGGTTCAGTTTCGGGTACACTTTTTGCTTTTTTCCATAGGTTGTCGTTTATCGGCCAATGGTTCCCAACTTTACACCCACTACCCGTACCTGATCGCGGGAATTGTCTTCAAAAAAATCCCCTCGCCAGCGCCATCGTCTTAGCGGCTCTTGCCCCTTCCTTTTGCTGTTCTTGTATCGGATACACATATAGGAAATTCCAAAATGTTGGCACACCACAGAATATCTATATATTTATAGTTTATGAGAAAACAAGACAACGAAGGCAAGTCTGATACCACATTTAACAAAAAACCGTATGAATCAAAGATGCAGTGAGAATGACAAGACAACAACGTTGGTTCTAATACCCAGCCCTTGAAGGTAAACAATTACTCATGAAACTGAGACACAGACACAGTCATTGAACAAAGTAAGAGACTTCTAATATTTACTTAGTCTTCTTCTTACGGGAATAGGGAGTGAGATCTCCAACATAGTATTCCTGAACGTCTTCATCCAAACCACAAGGGCGCGTGAACTCCTGACCGCGTTCGTGAATCCACTTGTTCGACACCTGCAGAGCGATGCCTTTATTTCTGTGATAGGAGCTTCTTCACTGAGTGACTTACCCATTTCACGCCAAGAAGCACTGGACAAGCAGCATGTCTTGTGCGTAAATCTCCCTCGCCACTTCTCAGAAGATTGTACCAGAAGAGTGCGTCAAACTTGGATGGGAATACTGCGGTACCGAGGTGGTTGAAAACGGTCGCTCCTCCCCGTTCAGGTTGGGTCATCTGAAAAAGTGGACATAGCGATAGGTAGCAGATTAGAGAATCCTTCACTACTGATAATGCGTAAAAAGACCATTGTCCTCCGAGTAATGATCAATAAATTTTACTAATTTTGTGGAGTCACACAGAGGAGTCCAGTGGGGCTCGTTTTTAGCTTTGTTACTCCATCATCGACGGCACGGAGCCTAGAAAGAGCAAGGAAGTATGGGATTCTTCGTGCGGCCAGTCAGGAAAAAGAGGCTTTCATGAGGAAGGCGGTCACAGGAAGTCGGGAAATACGGGGAGCGCTAGTAATATGTCGGTTCTTCTTGGAACCCAGCCACTCAGGTTTTTCTTTTCACTGTCATTATAAAGGTCTGATATGGTGGTTCTTGTCGTTTAGTTCGGCCGTAATTTCGAGCAAGTTGTCCCTTATAAGGACCTGGGAGGCCACTGCCGATACTTTCGTAGTCTTTGAGACGCACGTCCTGATTTTAATTGG